AAAGACTCACTTGGGACAAAACCTTCGTGGAAACAATCGCTGCAGCTTGAAAGGCTGAAGTAGGCCTGCAGAAAAAGGAAATATTTGGCCAGTGTTCTTGCCCCAGTGGGACCAGGCAAGACTCTTTCAAGATCTTTGAAAAATGAATAAGTCGTTATTCGAAGCAAACCCAGGACCGTGGGTGCTGCACAGTCAGTGGAAGTTAAAATCACCAGCACTTCAGCCACGAGCCCCAGTGGCTTCTGAAAGCTAGGGTGATGTAGAACAGGGGCCTCCAACCATGTCAACTTTAAGATTTGTGGACTTCAACTCCCAGAAGAGCCCTGATGTAGAAGATGCTAGAGTAACCCTGGAGGCATCCAGGTCTTCCTTTGTCCTCAGTCTCACAAACACACTCGGTAATTTTGGATCAGACTTTCTTTTTCTCACCCCACAGAATGGTGGTTGTTGTTATGAGAAAATATGAAGAGAGGAAGCACTATGTATGCAGTCTGATATTCCAGGATAAACAATGGAATGTAAGTTTAATACGTAAACTGGTTTGCTCCAACGATCAGCTGTTGAGCCCACCTGCTGGCCCTGGCTTTAGTCTGCGCTTTATATCTTGGTTTTCAAGCTCAGCTTTGGCGCGGCATAGCACATTGCTGGAGAAAGTCAATAGCAAAGCGCGTGCTTACCAAACCGGCTGAAACACCGGTTGAATTGCACCCTCAGTTACAGGGAGTCCTCGACTTACAACAGTTCACGTAGTGAGTGTTTGAACTTACAACGGTGCCGAAAATAGCAACTTATGATCATTTTTCACACTTACAACCACTGTGGCATCCCCAGGGTCAGGTGATTTGCATTCAGATGTTTGACAACTGTCTCACATTTATGACGGTTGCAGCATCCCGGGCTCATTCGATCCACTTTTGCAACCTTCTGACAAGCAAAGCCAATGGGGGAAACCAGGTTCACTTAACAACCAGGTTACTAAAGAAAAGTTGTAAAATGGAGGCAAAACCTACTTAAGAAATTTCTCATTTAGCAATATAATATGTTGGGCTTAATTGTGGTCATAAGTTGAGGACTGCCTATATTCCTACAACGTTTCTATATGACAACTAACTTTTATTTCTACAACAAATACTAGCGTCTTTACTGTAATGACACGAGTAAGAGAAAAATCCTACATCCTTCCTTTTTTGTAGCATAGGTGCAGTAAAATTACTCGAAGGAGCTGAGATGGCTCTCGTTTCCAGATCCTAGTTTCAATAAGGTGCGTGATATTAAGGCATCTACTGAAGCATAGTCAGGCCCTTATAAGGAGCACTTTGGAAGGCAAAGCCATCCCAGTTCTCATTTAGAATTTGCAGGCATCACCAGCAGATGCACACAGGCTCTCATGACTAACCAATAAATCCAACCGCTGAATTGGCCCAAGAATTTCGCAGGCGTTCAGAAGATCAAAGGAGGCAGTACGATGGTTTGATCTTGGGGAGAGAAGCCAAGAGGATTTTTGAGCCATGAAATTTCACACTCAGATAAAGTTACCAAGCAGCCAGCACCAGAAGTGTGAATGCAACATTGACCTCCTCCCTTTCTCTTTTTATTAATTGAAGCATTTCCACTTCAATAAGTGAATCATGTGTTTCCCTGAAAATAAGACCCTGTCTTATTTTTATTTTGCCACCAAAAAAGGCACCAGGTCTTATTTTCGAGGGATGCCCTCAACTGACTAACCTCGCTTGCTCACGTCACCCCCAACCGCCTTTTCACTGTCAAGGGCCTTCAAGAACGACCAAGCAAGGGGTTCTTGAAGGCCTCTGCAGCCAATAACAGCTCTGATCGATACGGAGCTTTCTTATCAACTGCAGAGGCCTTCAGGAAAGCCTTGCCAGCCTTTGGCGATTGCAGAAGAAACGGGCCGGCAAGGCAGGTGTCAAATTGTGCAAGGCCTGTCTTCAACTGTGTCCAAAGGTTAGTAGTAGGAAGCTCCACCCCCCACATCCCTACCCTAGCTTAATTTTTATTTGTCCACTCTGGCATGGGCGGGATCTTAATTAGGGCTTATTTTTTGGGGGGGGGTAGGGCTTATATTGGGCACGCGTGTAAAAAATCAAGCTAGGACTTACTTTCAGGGTATGTCGTATTTTGGGGGAAACTGTGTAAATATTCTTATATCCCTAATATTCCCTGTTCCGTTTTCAGAAGCCTGCCTGCATCTTATCTGCATTTGGGAACGTATTAAAATAATCAAACTAGGTAAAATCACGCTTGCTGAACCATTTGAAAACCCTGTGACTGAACAATTAACATGAACAACTAAATGCGGTGCTCACAGTCCACATTTGGGGTGGATAAGCCCAAATTTGGAGATGATACGGTACTTGTATTTGGAGTTCAGTTGTGAAACTGTACAATGCCGGTAAGGATGGATGGTAATACCCTGCAGTAGCTGTTGTGGTTTGCCGGCAGCAGGTGCGGATGGCTGAGGTCTCGGAGAGCAAGGACTCGGATGAGGGGCCTGTGTGTAACGCAGGATGGGGCCAGGACCATCAGGGAGTGGAATTCTGCCTTCGGAGCTTGTAGAGGCTGGCAGCAGTGATGAAGAGGCCCCTGAGGAGCCTGTGCCCAGTGCGCGCAGAGCCGCTTGAAGGAAAGAGCAGCTGCAGCAACATGGGAGTAAGGCTTCAAGGTAATGGCCCCTCCCTTAAGAGATAAAAGCCAGCTGAGAAACCGGAGTTCTTTGCAGGAAGCAAAGAAGTTCTCGCACTTCAAGCCTTGTGGAAGTTCAGACTATCTTGGTTTGTGTTGGAAGACTTTTTGTTTGGAATATTTCTTAGTAACTTCATCTAGTGTTCTTGGCAGCCTTGCACAACCTTGGCAAGGCTCGTTCTTATCAGAAACAATTAGTCTGAAACAGCCTTTTAACCGTGAATTAACGCAATTCGCAGAGAAGCATTAAAAGGTTTTGCTTTTATCTCCGTTTGGTGTTTGTTTACTTGGAACAAGGTTTGGATCAGAATCGTTTCCATTCAGATGACAAGGGCAGATTTCAATTAATGAGCGAGGGAGCCCTGCTGACCCAAGCAGTCAATTTGAGGCCAATGGAGAAAAGCCATCTATCCAGCAAAGAAATGGAATAAGAAAACCTCCATTCCTTTGATGGTTAACAACTGGCAAGCCACACAAAAGATCACGGAAGAGGTCCAATAATGATTTCCATTAAGCATGTCTTCCATGCACTGCTCCTTTACTCCAGTGCACCTTATCCACAGCAACCAAAATAGCAAATTTGACTGACAATAAAGAGATTCGGAATCCTATTACATTGCACAGCAGGAAACAAGTTTCGTGCTGCAGAAAACAGGAAGAGGTGATCCGGAGACAGTAGACCGATGGATCATAACAGTCCTCAACGTTTCAAAAGATTAAAAATTGTATTATTTATTCTTCGATTTCTTAATACCAGTCATTCAAATTTAAAAGGCATATTCTTTTTTTTAAAAATGAACAAATCTAAGCCCAATATCTGACCCCGCAAGCAGAAATGGCACCACATAACCAGCAATGCTTTTTTACAGTTATGGGCTTCTAAGTAGCGACTCTCTTTCGGTTGCATTAGCCCAACTCAATTTCATGGAAGGTCGCGTCAGGGTTGTGTTGGATCTTGGGGGGCTGGGGTGGGCGTGGCCAGCTCGGCATCACTCGTGTTAGGGGCACCTGCGGTAGCCTGGGTGTCAACTAAAAAGATAGCCCTTTGGTCATTTTAGCTGCCAGAAAAAGGAAGTGTGGGAAAAACAGTGCATTCCTTAATTGCACTAGATGAGCGCTCTGGCAGCCCAAAGTTGTCGGAGCGCAACAATATTACTGGAGAGCATGACTGATGACTCTTGGCTATGGATATGTCTCATTGGAGAATATACACCCAGGGGGTGGGGGAAAGACCACGGTCAACGGGGAAATGCATGATGTATTTTAGTATCGGCTTCATCCAGCTAACGCCAACATGGCCACTTCTAATAAATCAATTTTATTATTTCTGAGAGATGCGGCTAGAGACTTACGATTGAATTGGGGTGGATTGGTTGGAGTCCTGACACTGGGTGGAGCTGGGAGGAGGGGGGGAATCCATTGCAGGAGGGTGTTGCTGACCAAAATGGAGCCTGTGCGGGCCGCACACAGCCTCCCCGAGCTCCATTTTCACCAGCAGAGAGCTGCAGGAGACCGTCGCTGCTGAAAACGGAGCTCCTTTTTTGCTGGCAGAAGCACAGCGGGGCCGGTCCTTCGCTGTTTCCAGGGTGGTCCCATGGGCCAGATCTAAGCACTCCGGTGGGCCAGATCCAGCCCGTAGGCCTTGAGTTTGACACCCCTGCAGTAGTTGGATGGATAGTCCTCATATCCACGTATTTTATTTTGAGAAAGGAGAATAGATATTGAAATATTTTTACGCGCTCAAAGGACGTGAGATTTTAAGGCATCTTGAAACCACTAGACCAGAGGTGGTATTCAGCAGGTTCTGACCAGTTCTGAAGAACTGGTAGCTGAAATTTTGACTCGTTTGGAGAACTGGCCAATGCCACCTCTGACTGGCCCTGCCAACCCCATCTATTTCCGAGTCCCAGCTGATTGGCTGGGTCTTCTTTGGTTGCCCTGCACAGGAGAAGGGAGCTGGAAAGCAGTTTCATGGGGAGGCAATGGAATTTTTACAGTATCCTTCCCCTGCCACGTCCACCAATCCACGCCCACCAATCCACCCCCACCAATCCACGCCCACAGAACCAGTTGTAAAAAAGATCTGAATCCCACCACTGCACAAGACACTTGGAAAAACTCCGCAACCGTTGCACTTAAATATTTCTCTCAATGTGGTTAATCAAATCAGACGTTTATGCACCACGTGTGTCCAATGATATTGAGAAAAAAAGTTTTAACAATTAAAAAAAAGAAAACAAAACAAGCATCCCAACAAAAAGCACACCAAGAGCTCTTCTGAAACCATCTGGTCCACTCACCTGGTCCTTTTCATGAGGCAAAAGGCTGACAGGCGGGAGGGAGGCTGGAAACGAACCGTATTTGTATGTCCCTCGGCTTTCCGAGCTACCTTGGTTCACCCTGTACTGAGGTCCTTCTTTCAATAATCTCCCATTATTGACGGCACGTTTGGCTCCCAGGCGCAGCCTCCGCTGAAAGACGGGGTTGTTGAAGATACCTGCAAGATCATGTTGACTTCTCAGGTATTTCTCTATGTTTCTGAGGGAAGATCCGTTGGGTTCCTGAAGCCCTTCGATGGCTCTTCGCAGGAGCTTATTCCAATCCACGTTCTGAAGCTCGTGACAGCTTCCCTTAGATCCTTTCGAGGGTTTCGAGATGTCATCCATTTTAAGAGATGAAAAACGCCCAGGATTATCCGGGTCCTTATAGGAAGCAAGGCCTTTATTGGTAACTTTGAGAACCGAGCCATCTTGGACGCTCAGCTCCAACTGTTCGGAGATAGTCTTCTTGTCTAAGCCGTGGGATGCACAAACGGCGTGGCAAATCCTCTCCTCCGAGGGCCTCTGCTTCTGCCTTTTGACTTTGTGTATAGCTTCAAGAATCCACTCTGTGTAAAGTGGGTTAGCAAGCTTTACCATGGTTGACCAATAACCTTCCACCCAGAAGAGTTCCTCTTCCTACCAATGATCCTTCTCCTACGTCTTCACATTTTACCTTCCGGTACCACCATCTGGAGAAGTCATCCCTCAGATACAAAGATTGTGAGGAATATCGGGCATGATCTTGTAAAATCAAAGCCTTCATCAACCAACGAAGGAGAGTGGAGTCGTATTCTTACACCAGATGGAATACATCTCTACCCCTTGGTGACTTTTCTCTCCGGTCGGTACAAATCTTTTCAGGTCTTCATCAATTCTAAAGAGTATTTTTAGAAAGCAAGTTAAGTTTCATTCGCAGCAAAACCCAGTTCGTCATTTAAGAATGTAGATACCTCCCACTTTATTTCAAAAGCTACACCTCTTTTGACCAATGCATTTGTTGTTAGCTAACATTCAGAAGCACCAGCTGGACTGGGGGGGGGAAAAGTTACGTGCTTCTTAGAATTTAACTCCAAAATTCGCACTGGATGGTAGTTCAGTCTTCCAGAAGATAGAATATCAGCCAATGTTATATCTGCCACCTTTCAAACCCCAAGTTGAAATAAATCCCAGGAACTAGATACATAAACCACCAGTTTCTCAACATCTCCAAATCCATTTTTTAAAATCTCACCATGTTCTAAGCACTCTGCCTCTGCAGTCTTATTGGGCGTGAACATGTAATGAAGCTGGAAGATACTAGACTTCTCCATGTAACCAGCTCCATTAAAAGCAAAATATCCTTGCCTGAAGGTTGTGGATACAATCATTACTAATCTCATCATCACTTACGTCATAGTATGGCTCAAATGCATCAAGGGGGAGAGAGAGAGGGAGAGAGGGAGGGAGAGGAAGAGAGAGAGAGAGGGAGAGAGAATGAGAGGGAGAGGGAGAGATGGAGAGAGAGAGATGGAGAGAGAGAGATGGAGAGAGAGAGAATTAGAGAAAGAGGGAGAGGGGAGAGGGAGAGATGGAGATGGAGAGAGAGATGGAGAGGGAGAGAGAGAGAGAGAGAATGAGAGAGAGTTGGAGAGGGAGAGATGGAGAGATGGAAAGAGAGATGGAGAGGGAGAGAGAGAATGAGAGAAAGATGGAGAGAGAGAGAGAGAGAGAGAGAGAGAGAGAGAGAGATGGAGAGGAGGATTAATGCCAAAAATGTACTCCTCATCTCAGTCTAGGAGAGCAATTTGCTATTTGATTGGAAACGCTTTGAATTTTGCAAAGTCCCCATAAAATTCAAAGGGACAAGACAGAGATTTAAAAGAACTGGGTCATCGTGTCAATAATCCCTATGCTGGACTACCAAACAGGCAAGAGTGCTTAATCATGGCAACTTTTGAGCAAGATTGACTACTATTACTCTCACCCAGAACCATATTTCTACACTCTACAAGGATTCCTTTTCTCTTCACATCAAATGATACAGGTAACTCTCGACTTAATGACCACAATCAAGCTCTCAAATTATGTTGCTAAGCAAGACAGATTTGCCCCACTTATTAAATGAACCCCTCCAATTGTTAGCTTAGCATCACGGGTGTTGGAAATGAATCCTGCTTGTCAAGAAGGTTGCAAGAGGTTGCAACCATCATAAATATGGACCAGATGTCAAGCACCTGGATTTTGATCACAGGTGACCAGGGGGGGATGCTGCAACGAATGTTAAGTAGGAAAAGGGGCCGTCGCTTTTTTCAATGCCCTGGTAACTTCGAACAGTCATTAAACAAGGACTACCTGTATCACAAAAAGTAAGATGCATTTCAAAACAGGCAGTCCTCGATTTACAATGGCTCATTTAGTGATTGTTCAAAGTTACAACAGTAACTGAAAAAAGTGACTTACAGCCGTGTTTTTCACAATTCCAACCTTTGCAACCCATGATCGTGGGATCAAAATTCAGATGCTTGACAATGGGTTCATACTTATGACTGTTGCATCGTCCTAGGTTACGTGATCCCCTTTTTGTGACCTTCGGACAAGCACCATCCGTCAGTGGGAAACCCAGATTCCCTTAACCGAGTTATTAACTTATCCACTGAAAGTGATTCCCTGAACAAGAAATGTCATGAAACGGGGAAAATCTCCCTTAACGAATGTCTCACTTAAGGACAGAAATCCTGGACTCAGTTGTGGTTGTACAACGAGGGCTACTTGTTTTGGCACCAGGGGTGGGATTCAAATTGTTTTACCACTGGTTTGGTGGGCGTGGTTAGGTGGGCGTGGCTTGGTGGGGTGGGTGGGAAGGCCAATCCTGCGCTTTTCTCTCCTTTTTCCTCTCAGCTGATTGTCGGAGGAATTTTTTTTCTTCTCTCAGCTGATCGTTGGCTTTGTTTTTTTTTATACAACCGGTTCAGTAGAACCGGCACAAACCAGTAACATACCACCAACGATTGGCACCTGCCTGCCTGAATCCTTCTGACATGGAGCTTCCTTCGGCTACAAGGAGCGACTCAAATCTTTCACGAAGAAATCTTCTGAGGCAGTTTGTGAAAAGTTGGAGCAGTAAGAGAGGAAAATCCTTCTCTAAGAAGAAAAAAGCCCAGCTCCGTCAAGTTAAAAAGGCTTCTAGAGTTGAGCACTTTGTTCCCTAGGGCCTAGGAGCAATTTCATGCTCCCACCAGGATTCTCCAAGCAAGAGGAATCTTCAAGGGGTGTAGCGTTTCTCTTCTGGGGATAATACGGATAATACGGTTATGTTCTCCATTAATTTATTAAATCACCTTTTAATGCTCTATAAATCATGCAACCCATAGTAGAACATTGTGTAATTTAATACATGCTGCGAAAAGAAATAATTACTTTTCCGAGGGCGCAGTAAGAAGTTCTTCCTATCCACTTTCTCTCTTCTGTGCATGGCTTCATCGTGGGAGAAAAACCAAGAATAAGGACTGGATTAGATACGCATCATCGGCTCCCACACTTCTCTCAGCGCCATCGATTATTTCACATTAGCTGTAGGGAAAACCATAACCATTATTTCCACGGATACCTACTTTATTATCGGTTTTTGTTTAAAATAATAACACTTCCATTCTAAAACTTTTTTAAAAAAACCTTTGCATTCCACCTCTTTACCCTCATTATAAAAAGACACATACAGCAGATTCTTGCTAGACCAGTGGGGTGTTGTTTTAACCTTTGCTTCTCCAGCCACAAAGTATCTCTTTACATCTCAAATTACCTTTTTTAAAAAAAGAAGGTGAAAAAACGTTTGCCAATGATTTGCTACATGTAGCAATAGCATCAAGAAATAAATTGCAAGTATTTTGACACCATGGTAGAACTTTTGTACCATTTCCAGTGAAGAGTTTCCCAATTAAATTAATTATAATTTTATTACTAATAATAATTAAATTTATTTACTGCCCATCTCACCACCAGGCGACTACAACATTCACGCTTCCAGCATCTGATCATGGGCTCTTCAATGGGCTAGCTAGATTCACATATAAACCACTGTTTGCTTAATCTCAAGTTATCACCTAAACCACCTTAGCAGAACTGATGCATTATATCACAGATCATGCTAAAACACAAGCCACAAAGCTGTGGCTTTCACAGTATTGTTGTATTCTTATACACTGAGCAGAGTCACTTCTTGTGAGATGGTCAGTTATATAAATTTGATTAATAAATAAATATGCAATGGGCTTAAGCTTAAGCTTCTTCTGTCATTCTATTATTCTGATGATGAATAAGCCACAGTTTGCTTATGATGGGATTGAAAACAATATGAAGGAAAACTCTTTAATTTTGAAGTCCACAAAAAGCTTGTGCCAAAGTTACCAGAGTCCTTAGCAATGCACCGAAAGGCTGAAGGAAGCTTTCAGCTCAAACAAAATACAGACAAGTCCTCATCTAGCAAACAAAACTGGGACTAGAACCTTAGTCATTAAGCAAAGCAGTCGCCAAGTCAACTGTACTTGCATTTACTGCAGCTTTCCTTTGCTTTACAGACCTGGGATTGGTCGCAAAGTCACTTTTTCATCACTGTTGTAACTTTGAATGGCCACTGTAAGAAGCAGTCTCTAAACGAGAACTATTTGTATGTGCTCTATGATCCTAAGTTGCTGTTCAGTTACAGAAGACTCTCTAAAGCAGTGGTCACCAACCAGTGGGCCGGGGTCCACGAGAAAATGTTGGTAGTCCGCACAGAAATGTCACCCCCAAAGCAATTAATCCAGGCTGTGCGGAAACACGAGGCTGCACCGCTCTGGTGGCCCATGGGAACACAAGGCTTGCGTCGCTTGCATTGTGAACAACACAAGGTAATGAGGGGAGGGGGGAAAGAGCGGTGGGGGGAAACTTGCCCCAGTTGCCCCACATGCCTGGCCTGGCCACTGGGCTGCTTCTTTCCTCTTCTGCTTTTGGCTTCTTGCGAGGAAAGCAGTAAAAGTCTTTCTTTCTCTCCCCCAAACTCTGCCAGAAATGAGTCTTTGGGACCCTGCTAGTCATCCTGCTCCAAGAGGCTGCGCCGGCAAAGACTCATTTCTAGCGGAGTTTGGGGGAGAGAAAGACAGACTTCTGTTCTGCTGTTTTCCTTGCATGTTCTCATTCTCTCTCTCTCTCTCTCCTAAGAACGAAGCTGGAGACGGTATCCTGCTATACTAAATAAAGAATGATCGATCAGTATGAAAACAGGGTGGGAAATTTTCCTGCAGACATTTTTGGGGATTTTCCCAGGGTCTGTGGGATTTAAAATTATGAGTTTGGTGGTCCCTGAAGTCCAAAAGCTGGTGACCCCTGCTCTAGAGACACAGATATCAGTGGAAGGCTCCCGATTTTTTTCTGCTCACATTTGTAGACTTTAATGGATGAGAAAGTAAGTTAGAAACGAGGGAACATATTCATGAACTCAAGAATGGGCCTCAACTTGAAGACTACCTTGATTTTCATTTGTGGTGGGCCTTTTTCAGAGGGCAACTGTTGACCCTCTTTGCGCTCCTTTCAACGGATGGTTCAAGCTCTCCTAACTGGGAGAAGACAAACCTCCTTGGACCCACAAGCTTTGAAGCTCAAAGCTTTTGGATTTTGGATTTTATTCATGCAGACCCAGCGGTTGCAACCAAGCCAAACTTTGTTTGCTCTTAGAAAGTCTAAAGTGGGAAGATTTAAGACTTTGGGCAGGAGACCACCAGGAGATCACAGAAAAAAAAGTTCTTCCCTATCGTGGCCAAGGAAAGACCTGGATGGGATAAGCAGGAGTATAAGTTTTGGAATTTATTTTATGAATGGTTCGACCAAAGAATAACAAACTGAAATATGTGGTAATAGCAATTACATAACAGATTGATTTTGAAAAGATAAGAGAATGAATATAACTTAGTAAGGATGGATTATATTTTTGAAAGATAACTATAATGTTAATGATAATATAATAGTCAAACAATATGATACAAAATGTTGATTAGAATATTATAAATATAAATAAGAAATGTATGATAATATCATTATGCACACAAAGATATATGTACCCAACCAACACACTGTAGAATCAGAAGATGGTTTTATTTGTTATTTTTGTATAAAAACTAAAACAGGAGTCAGCTTCATTTGAGGAAGAGCAACTCAGCATTTTGCCCATCTTGAAAAGCTAAAGCTGGCCATGTCAATTCACACAGGGTAGCCCAAAAGGTTGCAAAAAGAAAAAGAAAATGAAAATTCTGGAAGAGGTCCAGGGAGGATATGGCCTTTTGAGAAACACGTGCAACTTTTAGCTTTTAAAATTAGCCTCCAAAGATCTCTAAAGGATCCTTGGCAGCTTTATAAGATGGGTGGACTTCAACTCCCAGAATTCTCCAGCTAGCCAAGCTGCCTGAGGAATTCTGGGAGTTGAAGTCCACCCATCTTAAAGTGCCACGGTGCAAAAAAGTGGCTGTAAATCACGGCAGAGCTACACCTGGCACCGCAGGTGGCAGAAGAGCCATGCTCCCCGGAGCAAACACTGGCCACCGGCTCCCGCCACATGGCTTCAACGGCGGGGGGCGCTCGCGGCCCATTCCTCTACGACAGCAGCAGCGGCGCCAGGTACTGCGCGACCCTGCCCACCACGGCAACCCACGCCGCCATTTTCTTTCTTCATCTCAAGACGCGACATTGGATGAAAGCCCAAACCGGGCGCTTTCATCCCGCCTCCCGATTAGGCAGCCGCACCGATAGGTCAAGCGACCTGCCCGTCCCCTCGCCACCAGCCATTCCCTTCTGCCACACGCACACCACGACCAAACTATTGGAAGGGCGAGAGGCGTCAATTACGCTCCTCCCCGCCTCCCCAACCCTCTCCTGGCAAAGCCGTGACAAGCCCAGCGTCACCGCCCTCCACCCTCATTGGCGGGCGATTACATCTGGAAAAACAATACAAGAGGGGGGGGGGGGGAAAGGGACGAGCCTCGCCTCCAGATAGGCTCCCGAAGTGTCAATCGAGCGTTATTCCCCACCCTCCAATCACCACCACCCTTACCTCACCCTCCCGCCGAGGAAGTTTGTTTCGCGGGCGGGCGCGCGACACACGTTAATAAAGCGGCCCCGAAAGTCGTCTCTGAGTTTCACCCGCCACGTGCCCCGGGGCGCTCGCTCTCTTCCCCAACCCCGTCCGGTCGGGCGAGATTGGGGAGAAGGTGGGGTGGAGTGGGGAGTGCTCTCCCGTTGCACACGCACACGCGTGTGCGTGTGTATCCATGTGCGTGCAGCAGGGTGCATGCTACAAGAAGCCGCCGCCCCCCCCCTCCCCGGGCATGCAAAACCCGGACACGTGCAGGGGCCTCCCCGGCTCCAGAACCAAGACCCCACGCGTGTCCCACCCACTCCCCATTCCCCGCGAGGAGCCTCAGCCCGGAGAGAGAAACCGGGAAGAGAGAGGGAGGAGGGGGGGAGGTTCTTTGCAAGGCCAGCGACGCCACCCGCCCCACCCGCGCCCTCCGGCCCCGCGTGGAAGCGGCTCCGTCCGCCCTGACCTCTTGGCTGCGGCTTCTCTCCCACCCGCCGACGCCGTGGAGGAGGAGGAAGAGGTGGAAGGGAGCCCATTGGCCTCGGCTCCAAGGCATTTTCCTCCAGGAAAATCGCGAGCTGCACCCGGGAGCCCCGCAAGCCCGGAGTCCCCCCCCCAAAGAGCGGATTTTGCAAAAATTGCAAGCAGCCTCCCCTCCCCTCCCCTCCCCTTCCCTTCCCGGGTTGGAAGGCAGCAAACGGGGAGGAAGGGAGTGAGTTGGGGCGGGAGGGGGGGCTCCCGGCTGGCTTTACTCAGCCTGCCCGCCCGCCTGCCTGCCTCCGCACACAATGGGAGACCCGTCCCGCCGCTTCCACCCACCACCAACCCCCGTGGGCGGCCATCGGGCCCCCGTGGAAGATGCCCCAAAGCCCTGGGTGGGGGGAGAAGGGGGGGGAGGGAGGAGGAGGAAGGGTGGTGATGGGTGAGGGGACCTCGCCTTCCCCTTCTTGCCCGCTGCTGCCCACCCGAGTCCCCCCCCCCCCCCCCCCAAAAAACCAAACCACCCCACCTGGCCCCTCGGCAAACCTTCTCCTTCTTTCCTGGGATGCTCCACCGGCCGCCTCCTCCTCCTCCACCCCGCCAGGAGCGGAGCCTCCGAGCCAGCCGGGACTTGATAAGAGGAGCTAATTGAAAGGTTAATCTGCATGGGCGCTGACAGCCGAGGTCCCTCCCCGTTCCGGCTCCTTTTTTCCCCCCCTCTCTCGCTTTCCTATATATATATATATAATCTGCTATTGGCAAGCGGGAAACGGCTTAAAGGGGGGGGGGGGGGCGTCCGGCGAGCCCACCAGCCGGGTTAAACGCTCGGGCGGCGGAGAGAGGTGGGAGAAAGGGAAGAAAGGAGGCAGGCAGGCAGGCAGAGCCCACGATGAGGCTAGACGACGACGACGCCGAGATGCCAGAGCCGCCCGCTCCGGAGTCGGGATCCTCCTGGCACGGCGACCCCCGAGGAAGAAGAGGGTGGCCAAACGCGCCCATCGGCCGCCTCGCCTCGATCCGCTATTTTTAGATTAGGTTATAGAGGAGCCGAGTTGGAAGGGACCTTGGAGGTCATCTAGTCCAACCCCTTGCCCAAGCAGGAGACTCCACTACACCACCGTCTTCTCTCTCTCTCTCTCTCTCTCTCCCTCCTTCCTTTCCCCCTCTCTGCCCCTCTCTTTCTCTGTCTTTCTCTCCCTCTCTGTCTTTCCCTCTCTTTCTCTCTGCCCCCCCTCCTCCTCCCGCACCCCCGGCTGAGCCCCTTTGCCTTAAAATTCCCGAGTTTGGCTTCGACTTCACCCCGGTGGGATTCTCAAGACCAGAACCCCCCCCCCCCC